TATCAGCTCCCTTCCCAGCAGCGTGGGCATGGCTCCTCTCCCACCCCCGGGAGTTGGGGTGCTGCAGGACCTGGGTGGGGGGGGTTAAACAGCGGGTTCAAGCACCGCGGGGCAGCTCGGGGCCCTGGCCCAGGCGGTTTGTGCCGGGTGGTGGATGGGGGCTGTTAGCGAGGGGCAGATGTTGTGCGGGTCAGGGCAGAGCCCGGCTGTGGGACAAGGATGCTCCAGGCACCTTCATCCTGGCCAGAGCCCCTTCGGGAGGGTTGTGGCAGAGCTACCGGGAGGCAGCGGGTGGTGGCTGCTCGCTGCGGGGCTGCGCTGGCACAGGACCCGGTTCCTCCTCCCAGTTTTACATCCCCCCAGCCCACTCCCAGTCCTGCCCGCTCGCCACCAGCATCCTCGATGCCAGAACTCTCCGGCTGGAAGGACCACGGCACCCGGGGCTGGGAAGCTGCTTTTCCAGCATCCGTTTCGGAGGTGAATGGAGACAAAATCTCACAGAGAAAGGTCGCCCACCCCAGCCCGGGGTGCTGCCATGGGGGTGGGTGTAGTGCTGGGGGACTGGCCAGTGCTTGGAGATGCTCTGGGGCTGCTCTGTGCCTTGTCCTCACTCAGAAGGAACCCCTCTGGTTGCCACAAGCCTTGGGGACCAAGACAGGGCCAGGGTGGGCACTTTTCTGGGGATGTGTCTGTCTGATGGAGCCCCCTGCCTCCATCAGCTCAGGCTGTAGGGTGTTTGGCAAGTGCCTGCCGCGGCCAGGAGCCTCCAGGTCGTGCCCAGGCAGGGCAGAGGCAAACTGGCCATCAGTGGGGCTCCCCGGACCCCAAACTCCCTGCCCGCTGCTGGCAGAGCCAGCACAGCATCCTCCGCAGCATCGCCCTCCATCCGAAGGGCCCCCTGGCCCTCCCTGGAGCCAGCACGTCCCTCGGAATCTTTCCAGCTCCCAGGACAGGCTCCCCTCGGCCAAGGGGAGCAGCACGGCGGGACCCTCCGGCTTCACCCAAAGTGTTGGGAAATGGAACAAAACGAGCGGAGAAGAAAGGGAAGGGCAGGAGAGGGGTGGAGAGGAGGGGCAGGTGTCAGCAAGCTGCCTCCAGCCATCTGTTGCCAGCCCAGGGACTCCAGGGCCCCCCAAGCTCCGTGCCTGACGGGGACAACGCTGGCTCTCGGGGGGGGACACACACACAGAGTGCAATCGCATCCCCCACCTGAGCGCAGCCGCGTCGGGGAGTTTCGGAGGGGGATGCTGGCCCTCCCTCCATGGGGCTCGTGGGCTGCCTGGGTGCCCTCGCTGCAGCTGAGCTCGCGGGGAGGCTCAGGCGACCGTTGCCCCCCACTCCCTGTGTCAGGGAATATTGGGGTATCCCCTTGGCTCCCCCTCCCCAAACCGCCCGACGTGCCGCTTCATTGCCCGTGGGAGGGGAGGGTTGGCCTCCTTCACCTGATCTGGGCCAACCGGGACCAAAAACCTTCACTTACCCCCTGGACACGGCTCTGCTGGTGAGAATTTGAGCCGCTAACCCAAGGTCCCTCGTTTTCCCTGGTTTTCCCATGCTGTGCTGGGGGCAGAGGGAACCGGGAGGAGGAGAAATGAGAGTCTGGCCGTTGCCAGCGCCCGGCCAGCAGCGCTCCAGCCATCCCTGGAGCCTGGTTTGGACTCTGACCACCGAGGTTTACACAAGACCACGCTGAGCCACACCTGGATGGGCCGGCGTGCAGACACTGGGGCAAGGAGAGCTTCCCTTCGGGGTGCCTGAGGGGCTGGGACACATCCCCCAGGGCTTGCAGAGGCCAAGCAGGACACCCCGAGCCTCTCCCAGGGGCAGGCAGGAGAGGTGTCCCCCCCATTATGAAGAAAAAATGCTGAAAATTCAGGGTCCTGGGTGGAGGGATGCGCTATCACCCCCAGGTCCTTGCCCCAGCTCATGTGCTGGGTCTCACCCTTGGAAGTAGCTGAGAGATCCCACCAGGATTCCCCCTGGCACGGACCCAGCCGTCCCCCAGCAGCCACAGCCCCACGTACCCCCACCAACTCCCGGCCATTAGAGCTTTCGCAAAGTGAGGATGAAGAGGGTTCCAGCTCCATCTGAGCCCCCGTAAGGCAAAGCCTGCTGCATTATATCCTAATCCGAGAGGCCTTGGGGACCGTGACTCTAAGTGGAGGCTCTCTAATCCCCTCCCGTAAACGATACGGCACTAACTACCCCGATGGGACTCTGGCCACATCTGGTAGGGGAGCCCGCCGGGAGTGCCCGGCTGTACCTTTTTTGCTAAGAGGATGAGGATGCAGAGGGGAATATGCTAAACCATTTACGCCGCGGGCACTTTTTTTATCCGCCGCGATCAGCTGTCTGAGCTGGCAGGAGGGGATCTCCATCTGGATGTAAGGCCCCGGCCCTCGGCTCGCTCCCGCAGCCCAGACAGCACCGCTCCTCTCTGCCGGCCGCCCGAGAGGCCCCGCCAGCAAGAATCCCACTGGGGAGGCAGCCCCTTCCCTTTCCCGAGGCTCAGCACTTTAAGGGGGGGCAGAAATGCTCCCCACGGACAAGCCCCCCGCTCTGCCGCATCCCCGGCACGGCTCGGCACGCAGCGGTGGTGCGGTGATGCTGGCCTGCGTATGGGGCTCTCCGAGGCGGCTCAGGAACCCTCTGTCCCAGCCCTGAGCACAAGTTAACTGGGAAAACACCCCAAAACCAGCCAGCCCCCACGTGCACGGTGGGAGGGGACCCCGGGGCAGCGTCCCCCTTCTCCGGGATGCAGCGGAGATGGGGTGAGCCCTGCTGTGGTTGGGGTAAGAGGCCAAGCAGGGTTTAGATACAGTAAATCCTCCTTTTACAGTGATTCGTCCTGAGGATGGAAGGGATGGCGGAGAGCAGAGCCCCCCCCTGAGCCCCCCAAGCAGCCAGGGAGGGGACTCAGAGCATCACTGGCAGCTGGGCTGGGGGTCCAGCCCCGGAGCAGAGGTTAATGAGCCAGCGGGGCCGGGAGCCACCGCGGCCGTTAGCCCATATGGACACGCGAGCGGCAGCGGGGGGGAAATCGGCACGTGCCGGCGTCCTGCCCTGCATTTGGGGTGGCAGAGCCCCCCCTCATAATGCCCTGAGATTCAGCAGTAGGTCCTTGATGTCCCAACGCAGAGCTGGTGTCCCCCCCCATCCCTCCTGCATCCTTCCCGCATCCCTCCCACCCCAGGGATGCTCTTCTATGATCAAATAAATACCACTGAGGAAACCCAGGACCCCACGGCGGGGGGGTCCAACACGGCCAGAACCACAGACCCGCCGCGGCTACCACCTCCCCCCTGCCCGTGGCACGGCGAGCCGGCAGGCCCGCAGCTGGGTCCGGCCGTTGGAGAGGCAAGCGGAGGTCGCGTCCG